AACTACTTCTTTTTGACCAACCAAAATTTGCAGCCAAAGACAACAAAAAAACTTGGACAGAATTCATCTTTGCTACACAAGCAAACTTCTCCGCATTCTGCATCATTGTGAACACCCATTTGCATCCAACCGTTTTTTCCCTCTTGGCAACTCAACTAATTCCCCAAGTATCTGAAGAGCTTTCATCTCTTCATAGATTTCTGCCTTCCATTTTGGATCAGAAAATGCATCTTGTAATTTTGAGGAATAGATACAGAAGACAACTGGGCTGCAAAGGCACGATAAAAACGAGAAAGATGTTGATAAGAAACAAAATTAGATATTGGATGTGTTGAGTACAAGACTTAACACTCTTACGAAGAGTAGTTGGAACATCATTATCACAAACATCAGGAGTATGATCATCAATAACAATGGGTAACTTAGGATTACCTGAGTCAGAGGGTGATGATTGGCAAGGAGGCGATGAAGCAGTCGTATACTTGTGTCTTCTTGCATATACCTCTAACTCGTCATCAGAGTTGCTCCTGCTCTTCATGATCCTGTCATTGGGTTAATTGCTGTTCCTTTTCTAACAAATATGAAGGAACAGTGTTAGGCAATAGAAAGGACAACATTGTAGGCAATACTCCCACAATGGATTTCTCTTCATTCATATTCTCCCCCTGAAGAGAAGCCTTTCGTGAAAAATAAGCTGTAGACTCAAAGAAGGTAACATCCATAGAGACAAGTTGCTTACCCGATGGAGGATTAAAATATTTATAACCCTTTAGGGTTGGAGAATACCCTAAGAACACACATTTAATAGCTCTTGGATCTAACTTACGATGTGTACGATTAAGAACATGAACAAAACAAACGCACCCAAATACTCGAGGAGGAACTAAAAAAGATTTGGAAGAGGACAATAAAGGCGAGAAAACTTCAATTGGTGACTTGAAATTAAGAACTCTTGAGGGAAGTCGATTTATAAGGAATGCTGCAGTGAGTACAGCATCTCCTGTATAGTTTAGGAACATGCATAGAAAACATTAAGGCCCGAGCAACCTCTAGAAGATGTTGATTTTTTCTCTCCGTGACCCCATTTCTCATCGCCATTATCTGGACGAACAATTTTTATTTGTGTATTAAACTGAGTGAGCACCATTTTTTTCCTTGGAAGTCAAGCTAAGTGAGCATCATTTTGTGATATGTTTTGAAACATGAAAAAACATCACCTTTTTCTTTCAACTAGTTAACCCAAGTGGTATGAGAATAATCATCAATGAATGTAACAAACCATTTGAAACTAGATAAACTAGCAACACGAGAAGGACCCATACATCAGTATGAACAATAACAAAAGGAGATGGACTTCTACTAGAACTTGAAGGAATGAAGTTCAATGATGTTTTGCAAGTTCAGACACTTCACAATAAAACTTGGAGACATTTATTCTTGAAAATAAAGAAGGAATATGTTTTTCCAACAAAAGAAATGATGGGTGTCCTAATCGTCGATGCCATAGTCAAATATGATCCATAGGGGTATCACAACTTGTTGAACTTGATTTATCTTTTCCAATTTAGCATCCAAAAAATTAAGACCATCCCTCTCTCTACCACTGCCAATCGCCCTCCTTGTGACTAGGTCCTGAAAGACGCAATGTGAGGGAAAGAAAGTTATACTACAGGTTAGATGTTTTGTAATGCTACTGACTGGAGAAGTTAGGAACATGGATGGACATGGAAGAGGTAACATGAATTGAACCTTGGCCAGAGACAGATGAAAAAAAACCGTCTGCTATTTGAACTTTTTGTCCTGAACAAGTAGTATAAGAAGAAAATAAACTAGAAAAACCAATCATATGATCGGATGCACATGAATCAATGATCCAAGGGTGATGAAATGTGTTACAAGATGCACTTAGAGCGTTAGCCAAGTTACCTGAGAGGGCAAAAGAGGTGGATGCTGTTGCAGGAGTCTCTAATTGTGTGATATTATGCACCTGAAATTCTCAACTTCCTCCTTAGTAAGATTTGGTGTAACACATTGAGTTGGTGGAGTCGTAGTGGCTGAAGAAGATTCAACAGTAGGGTGAGAACGGAATTGAGAACCACCACCTGACCGACCTCTTCTACAACAACTTTCTCTAGTATGTCTAGTTTTGTTGCAATAATCACAAAACAATTTGTCTTTGTTTGAAGTATCCATTAATTTTTGTTTATCATATTTCTTGGTCCCTCACTTTCCCTCTTACTGGGTAGAGGCTACAAGTGCAGAGCTCTCCTGTGGCATTGACTGAAACATAACAACGCGTTTGCTTTCCTCACTTTGAACATATTCATATACCCCCATCAGAGAGGGAAGGGGCTCTTTACCTAAAATCTGAATTCAAACCTGGTCATATTCAGGATTTAAACCAGATAAAAACTCAAAAATGCGTTCTTGTTCAATCAACTTGTGCAACTTAGCAACATCTGCTGCACTATCCATATCTAGCCTTTGATAATGATCTAACTCCTGCCACAAACCCCGCAGAGTATGAAAGTAAGTTGCCAATGATAAATTTTTTTGTTTGGTGTCATGGATTCGGTGCTTTAAATCATAAATTTGTGCCACATTACCTAAGTTTGGGGTACCGCATCCCAAACTTCCTTGGCGGTTCTTAAGAATGTATCCATGAGTAATTTCTGGTTTCATTGAGTGAAGAAGCCATGACAGAACGGTTGATTTTTCAGCCTCCCATTTCTCGTATGAGGGGTTATCAAGCTTTGGTTCCTCTATCTTACCAGTCAGATAACCCATTCTTCCTTTACTTTTAATTAACAGTGTTACCGACTGTGACCAAGCGAAATAGTTTTGGCTGTCTAACTTCACTGTTGTGATCTGGAGAGTAGGGTTTTCGACATGAGTACTGCCTTGGCCCACTATCCCCTGTTTTGGGATTTGGGAGATCTCACTTTCTTGTGATGTCTTGTAGCCAGCCTCAAATACCAATTAATCTCTTCCAATCACACAAGATAAAGCTAGAAAATAAATTAAACAATCACTAGAAAGACGCAATCTGACAGAAGTGAAATCTGTGCTACAACGTCAAAAAAATTGAAATCAGGCATACAGAATAGTTACTGCAGCAGATCTATAAACAAACCCATCAGCTGGTGAGAAATAAAAATCCATAACTCTCAGCTGTTTCTTCACATATGCACAACCACACAAACTTTCCTATCAGACTCCTTCGTTACAGATTGGAGCACATAAATCTTGTCAAGAAACCCTAGATCCGGATTCCTTCAAATCCCCTCTTTCAAAAAATAACAAAGAAATAGCAAATGGAGTCACATCAGGCTTAAAAAAACAGAGAATCCCCAAACAGTGGCCAACATGGTGGCAGGTTTTGCCATGTTGATGTCAGCATTCGTACACTGACATCAGCATTTCTTTTGTTTTTGGTTTGTAGGTTCGGTTCCTCTATAAGATGTTTGTCGCTCTAATACCAAGTTGATTTATGAGATTGAAACATACATCAGGAAAAAGAAGAAGAAAACTGAGGAGAGAAGAAAAGAATGTGACAGCAGAAAGAATGAGAGAGCATACTGACTCTCTCTCACATTATATTATTTATACTATCTTGGATAAACACATAACTACTGATATACCCTTCAGCATAGAAAAAATAAAATAAAAGGATATTTTCCAACATAAACTTGATATGAAATTATGACAGTAAAGTTCTAGCTGAAGTAATTTGGTTGGTTGTCGAAACAATGTATCTTGAGGTGGCAGTTGGCATTGATTCAGAATATTGTTATAAACTTATATGTTGATTTCATGCTGCACGCTGAGAGTGTTGAGAGTTATGTTTATGTGGAGTCAAGTTTAGAGCTAAAATGGTTAATGGGGATCTAAAGTTGTGCTGGGATTTTGTTTATTGCTTCTCCTGTTGTGCTTTAAGTTAACTATGAATTTTGGTTCAATCCAGATGGGTTTTTTGTCTTTAGCGCAGTATTGGGGGATATCTCCAGGTCTTTAATTTGATGCGAAGAGATCTTATCGAATTGCATTTCATGCATTTATCCCAACCAATTCAAAAATGACTTACCCTGATTTCAAATTTTATATTTTTACTTTGGCAAGAAACACATTCACGCACCCACTTGTCCCTATGGGGACTTGAACCCTCGACCCTTTGGAAGGCGAGGAAATACCACTGGGCTACAGCCTTCGGTTTTACCATGGTTTTAATGACCTTTTGTTTTATTTATTTGTTTTGTTTTGGGGAAGTGGGAGGTAGACTTTGTGGGTATTTTGCTTCTTTTCATTCTTATTTTAATAAGTTTTCCCTCATTTTTTGGACAATTTTTTTCTTTCTTTTGTATATTTTATACACCGGTTCTTCTATTTTAAAGATATTTAGTGGTATTATTTTTCCATGTAAAAAAGGTTTTGCTTAAATGGCTTGCTTTGAAGGAAATTTTGTTTGAGTATTCTGTTTAGCTGATTGTTCATACTATGTTGTTTTAAATTTATGTGCGATAAATTTTTATTGTCAAGTCTTCTTCCTTTTTATTCAAAAAACCTCAACATTGGCAGCATAGCTGTATTGTATCTTGAAGAATTCTATACGATGGCAACATTTTCTTATTCTTTTTCTACAATATACTCCCTCTGTCCCACAAAAAATGTCCCTTTTTGGGAATTTATCTTTTTAAGAGTGTAGTTTTTAATATATATATTTTTTTATTATAGAGGTAGGGAATGAATTTTCTAATATACCCTTCTATGGTGGGTCCACATGCTTTTATAACTTCAAGGCAAGGAGGGTAAATTAGGAATATTTAAAAAATAGTACATTGGATTTTGAATTGGGACAGCCAAAGTGGAAAGGTGGACATTTTTTGTGGGACGGAGGGTATATTAGTTATAATTCTTTCTACCATTTAGTTTGGTAGTTGTTTTATTTATTGCTTCCTTTTTGATATATCACTACTTGTTCTCCATTGCATATTGCTGGGCAGAATTTTTGGAACAGAGCAGATGGTAATGATGAAGAACAAGTTACAAGTGTTCCTTCCACCTCAAGGCCATGTTGTAATGCCCATACTGGAGTTATGCCATCATATGATAGGTATTCCAGCTGTTACGGTCTCATATAGTCCTTTCTTTTAGACTTCCTTCCAATGTGTTTCACTGATAGTTGTTTTTGTTTATGTTTATTTGTTTTCCATGGTGCTTATGTCTTGTTAATCATTTCACTTCTTGATATTAGGAACAGAGACCGTGAGACTGACTTTGAACCCTGCTCTAAGCTCGAGGACCTAAATTTGGATGTTAGAAAGAATTCTATAGACACTGAAGGAAGACTTCTTACAGATATCTTCTCTAGAAGGTAGGTTCTCAGCAAACTCTTGTCATAATATCTCCTGTCTTCCTGTGAATGATGTTTTTGGAAGATAAAAAAGTTAGTACTACCATATTAGCATTGATGATAGGGATGTGACAGATTGTTCCAATTTCTGTTTGCTCAGTGATCTTACCTTTTGTATGCATAGGATGTTTAGAAGCAAACTAGAATCTCAGTTAGCAGATAGATAATGCCCAACAATACCATTTATACATCTGCGCGATTATTTAAAGGCCATGCTGAATACAGCTATTTTCTTCCAGGAGAAGGATATAGACTAAGTTCAATATTGGTATATAGAGGTTGTAAGGGCTCGACAAATCATCCACATTTGCCTAGAGACACTGTTTTTTGAATAAATTATTCAAGTGCAGCCATTTGCTTAGAAAAAGGTTATACACTAGATTCAATATCCCAACTCCTAAGAGTTTCTAGGGGCTTGACACACCATTTTTATTGCTTAGAGACAATTTTTTGAATTATTTACTTTTTTACAGTGTTAGGTATTTGAGTCGTGCTGGCGTATTCGTATTCAAAATGTGTCTTCTAACGTCTCAAGGTGTGTTGAATTGTTTGAGTAATATCTGTTCAAGACATGGCAGATACAGAATGCGCCATCCTTAATCACATTGACATAGCTAGGGCACATGTAAAATGACCTTAGAAAAACCTAAATTGATGTAGTCGGATCTTGGTGAGGCTTATAAATGATTTAAAAAGTGTTTTTGGAAAATCACTTCTCAAATTTCATGTTTTACACTTTTTCAGAATTATATTTTAAAGGGTAAATTACACGGATCTCGCCTATGGTTTGCCATAATTAAAGGGACCTCTCCTTTGGTTTGGGAATTTACACGGACCTCCTCTAAAAATGAAACTAATTGTTAGCAGATATGATAGCCACGATTTATGGAATGACTTACCATATTAGGTAGAGATTTGATTATGCTATAGAATATGTCATACAATATGCTGTAATTTGATTTAGATTTGATTTTATTTCCTTTCTTGTAATATGTGCATGTGCTCTTTTTTATCTATAAAAGTTAGAGCTTTGAATGAGTGATTTATCTTATTCAAGTCTTTGCACAATTCTCTCATTTTCTTCTTTTTCTATTTCTACTTGATATCAGAACCAGGGTGGTCTGACTGTAATGAGGGCATTGCGAGTTCGACACCACCCATTTGGGAATAGTCTAAGGTGACATCGCCCATCTGGGAGGTGTTGGGTAGGCAGGGTGGTCCGACCTCGATATATATTTTATTTTTTTTTATGGTCTGAGGAGACATTGTAGATTCTTTCATCTACATTGTTTAAACATATGTATGAAGGGGAATGGTTTGACGAGACATTGTTGATTCTTCTATCTACATATTTTAAACATGTGTATGAAGGGATATGGTCTGAGGAGACATTGTTAGTTGTTTATGGTCTGAGGAGACATTATTAATTGTTGATTGACACTTCATCTGAGAGAAAATCATCGCTAGTCAGATTTGCACTCCATTTGTCACAAGCTCTCAGCAGCTTGCAGACATTCTTACAAAGGGCGTCGGCAAGATTGTGTTTGAGAATGCATTGTCCAAAATGGGCATTTCAGAAATCCACACACCAACTTGAGGGGGAGTGTTAGCATATATGATAGCCACGATTTATAAAATGACTTACCATTTTAGCGGAGATTTGATTATGCTATAGAATATGCCATAGAATATGCTGTGATTTGATTTAGATTTGATTTTATTTTCTTTCTTGTAATATGAGTGTGTGCTCTTTTTTATCTATTAATACTAGAGATTTGAATGAGTGATTTATCTCATTGAAGTCTTTACACAATTCTCTTATTTTCTTCTTTTTATATTTCTACTCTAACCTACACGGACCTCCCCTCCTTGTGACGGACAGTCAAATGGACTAAAGGACCTGTTTAATTTACTAAAATGCCCTTAAGTTATTATAGTAAATGACTGAACTATCCATATTCTTTTAGAAATATATATATATACCTCTCTTCTTCCCTTCATTCTCTCTCTCTCATCGCCACCTACCATTGCCACTCCCACCATGGCCACCTCATTCACCTTGGTGGAGTACATTTGATTGTATATATAAAACCAGCCAGTCTAAGAATTTGATATGATCCTCCTGAGTTTGTGATATTGTGAATCTAATATTAGGGGAAAAATGTTGAAACCCTCGCTTAGCCAAAACCTAAAAGCCATGTCTGAATTTTCATCATCAATACCAATGATCTTACAAAACCCAATTCATTCTGCAAGCTCTCTAGGGCTTAGGTACTCTACTTTCTAAAATCAACTGCGATCTTGTGAAGAATGTGGTCAAGAACTGGGCATCGACAGTTTATGATGCATTTTACGGGTACCAGGAAGGGTTTGGGTTGCAGATTGAGGTGTTCTGGAGGAGGAATTGTAGGGTGCTGTTGGGTGCAGGAGGGATCGTGTTGTCCATTGTGTTGTGGAAAATTAGGGTTTTGTTTGGGATTGTTGGGTTATCCCAAGGCATGACGGTTTCTTGCTCTTTACGCAGCAATCGTCATTGTCATATTTGCTGTAACTGTAAGCTCTTTCTTTTGTTTTCAAATTCTTAGGAGGCAGAGAGAGGAGAGAGAAAGAAATATCCATATAAGAAAGAAGGTGCTGATGTGTGCATTTGGTTAATGCTGATTGTATTGTTTGCTGAGATGGACGGCTAGGATTGTTTGGGACCATGGATGAGGTGGTGGTCCCTGGACTACTAATAATTTTTTTAGAACCAATTTATGGTAGGGATAAGGGTATAATGGACATTTGACTTAATTTAGTACATGACGTCAGCACAATTCGTTATTGACTAACGTTGACTCTAACATAAGGGAGGTCCTTGTAGGTTAGTTTCATTTTTAGGGGAGGTTCGTGTACTACTAATAATTTTTTTAGAACTAATCTATGGTAGGGATAAGGGTATTATGGACATTTCACTTAATTTAGTACATGACGTTAGCACAATTCGTTATTGACTAACGTTGACTCGCATAAGGGAGGTCCTTGTAGGTTAGTTTCATTTTTAGGGGAGGTTCGTGTAAATTCTCAAACCAGAGGGTAGGTCCTTGTAATTATGGCAAACCATAGGGGAGGTCCATGTAATTTACCTTATTTTAAACTAGTTAATTATCTGCATAGAATGGTTGATCAATCGAGCACCTTCGAGTATCATCGATCGAATGGTTAATTGATTAAGATTTTATAGAAAATTATTTTTGAAAGTTTGGCCTTGTGTAGCTTTTGCGGGCTGTGTTCCATTTTCTAAACACTTTTTAATACAATCTTACTTATCAAAAAAATTATTTTTGAAATCAATATGCCAATCAAAATGTTGATCCATCAAGGTTAGTCCTGATGGGTCGAACGATTGAACCAAACGGACTTCTGCTTGTGGTGTTCCTCAAAACACAATTTTGTAAGGGTTTTACTTACTAAAAGGGGATCAATATTTGCTATAAATATTGCGGCGACCTTGTGGGCAGGTGCGAGGCACTGGCAGGCTACGGATGCACAATCCCACATCGCTTGGGTAAGGTGAAGTGCTTATATGTGCTAGTGCTGTCTCTAAATGGATAAAACCTAAAAACAAAACCGTGCGGGCTTTAGGCACAAAGCAGACAATATCACATCATATGGTGGAATGGCTGTTACAAATGGTATCATAGCCAGAGGCCAGTCGGAAGTGTGGCCAACGAGGATGTTGGGCCCCTAAGGGGGTGTGATTGTGGCGACCTTGTGGGCGGGTGCGAGATATTGGTAGGCTACAATGCTGGCCGGCTACGGGTGCATAATCCCATATCGCCCGCGTAAGGTGAAGTGCTTATATGTGTTAGTGCTGTCTCCAAATGGTACACAGCTTTTGGGATAAAACCTAAGAGCAAAACCGTGCAGGCTCAGACCCAAAGCAGACAGTATCACACCATGTGATGGAATGGACTATTACAAATATGTGGTTATAGTCAAGGTTGTTAAAATTGGGATCTACATAGAATCGTTTTGGGCTCCGTAGAATCAGAACTGTAGAATTGGATTGAGAATTGTAAGATTCTACCAACTAGTAAAAAAAAAAAATTCAAGCTAACTACTTAAACAATATAATGTGTAAAATATAGCAAGAATAAGGCCAAAATACACACAAAAAGAAAAAGGTACCATTCCAAAGTTCAAATATAATATAAAAGAGAATGTAACTCAAAAGGTAGAGCTCTCATGACAATTATGCAATTTGTAAGTTGTGAAGTTGTGGGTGAAAAGATGAAGATTTGAATCCTAATCCATAACATAAGTTCACAAATCCTAATCCAAACTTCCAACAGCTCCCTTAAAAGAAGAGAACACAAATAAAATAGAAAAGGAACTAAACATGGTTACAAAACATAATGTAAAGAAGTAAAGAACAGAACAAAATTAAAGGGTCCATTCTTCATGCTTAAAAAAAAATAAAAAATTGATTAGAAACAGGAAAAAAAAAATAAAAAATTTGAATGGCAACAAAAAAAAAAAGAAAAAGAAAAAGAATTGGGGATTAGGGCTAAATAGTATTTTTTTCTTATTTATATGGACTTTTTTTTGGCCCCAAAACTGTGGACCTTTCTTATTTAGAGAACCCAACACTTAAGAAAGTGAACTAGGCCAAAAAAATATAAGCCCAAACAAAAAATATCTTAGAATCTTGTAGAATCTTGCGATTCTACTACGATTCTATATGATTCTACTACGATTCTGCACAAGGAAATGATTTCTATACAAGTCGACTTGTTTTGGGTTGGTATGATAGCAGAATCCCAGGATCGCGATTTTGACAACCATGGTTATAGTCAGTCTAGGTCTGAGCTTGAAGTCTTTAATCATTTAGAAAGAGAAAATCCTTGAGAGAGAAGGAGAAATCACAAATTGCTTAATCTAGGGTTTTCTTGGACCACATCATATGTGATTGAGGGTTT